ATTGACATCAATAAATTTGAATCAGGGCTTCGCCATTGCAACTTTCTAAATTATTAGGACTCTATCATCATTAGTATTCGTTACCTATTATTATTAGTAATTAGTATTCGTTACCTATTATTATTAGTATTCGTCTTGTAATAGGTTTACTATTCACTACTATATATACTCCTGTACAGACTCATTATTATTCGTTCAGATATATCGTATCCTCATCTGGTATCAGCAGGTTTCTCTCTCCTCTCTCTAATGGCGCACCTCGGATCTGATGACGGCTCTATTGGTAGTTCTGAACGGACCGTTTCCGAGGCCGTGCTTGTTGCACCGCTGCAGTCGGGGGTGTCTTTCTCTTCGGCGCATCACTTCGTCTCCATCAAGTTGACATCCCGCAATTTTTTGTTTTGGCGTACTCAGCTTCTTCCGTTCTTGGATGGCCAAGGGTTGTTGGGTTTTGTCGATGGTACTTCGGTATGTCCGCCGATCACCGCGCTTGCCGTGCCGCCTGCCGAGGGAGCTGTTCCTGCCGTGCCTTCGTCGGCTTCGTCTTCCGCTGCTCGGAGTGCATGGCTCCGTCAAGATAAGGCCGTGCTCTCCTTATTAATCTCATCCTTGTCCGACGAGATGATGCACCTCGCAATCGGTAAGTCCACTTCTCGGCATTTGTGGTTGGCAATCGAACAGGTTCTTGGTTCGACTACACGGGCTCGTGCCCTCCGGTTGGTGGGCGAGTTGCAAGGATTACGGCAAGGGGATGCTTCGATCCCGGACTATCTTGGCCGTGCGCAGGTGCTTATCGAGGATTTAGCGCTTGCCAGCCGTCCGGTGACGCTAGAGGATCAGAATATGTATATATTCCGAGGCTTGCGGTCCGAATATCGTCCTTTGGTGGCGTCGCTCACAAGGGGTGCTCCGGTGTCTCTGCCCGAGCTATCCGATTTTCTTGTTTCGCAGGCTTTTATATGTGCCGATGATGCTGGTGATGTTGCTGCTACTCCGGTCACCATGGCGGCTCAGCGAGGTGGAGGCCGTTCGGGCGGGCAGCAGCGTGGAGGCGGCAACCGCGGCCGTGGTCGCGGCAAAGGGCATGGCCGTGGTTGTGGCGGTGCCGGTGCTGTCCAGTGCCAGATCTGCTCCGGCGAGGGCCATTCGGCCGCTTCGTGCTTTCGCCGGTACGATGGAGCTCCGAGGCCGAGAGCGCATGTTGCGTATCCTGTGGATGATGCGGCTTCGGTTAGCACTCAGCAATGGTTTCCCGACACTGGTGCGTCGAACCATGCCACCCCAGATCCGTCTTTGATGTCCTCGACGGTCTCTTATAACGGTCCGGATCATCTTCGTGTTGGTGACGGTAAGTGTTTACCTATTGTTGGTACTGGTTCGTCTCCGGTAGCCTCTTCTAAAACAATGTTTCGGTTGTCTGATGTTCTTTTTGTTCCTGGGCTTTCTGCGTCTTTATTATCTGTGCAACGGTTTGCCCGTGGTAATAATGTATTCTTTGAATTTCACCCTGATTGTTTCTTTGTAAAGGATCGTTCAACCAGGGAAGTTCTGTATAGAGGGCAGGCTTCAGGGGGTCTCTATTCTTGGCATGTTTCTCGTTCGAGTCCCGCTGCGTTAGTGGCTTCGCGTGTCTCCTCTGACGTTTGGCATGGTCGATTGGGTCACCCTCATCCTCGTGTCTTGCGGCAGATTTTGAATTCGTGTTCCACTAATTCTAGTTTTAGTAATAGTTCGATGTCGTGTCGTGCTTGTAAGCTTGGGAAATCATCTCGGTTTCCCTTGCCTCGTGTCAATACTACTACGTCGCATGTTTTAGAGCTTATTTATACTGATATTTGGGGCCCAGCGCCTTTTCTTTCTGTCAATGGTTTTCGTTATTTTGTTTTGTTTGTTGATGACTACACATGCTATGTATGGTTTTATCCTATGCGATTAAAAACTGATGTGTATGCTATCTTCGAGCAGTTTCAGTCACTAGTTGAGCGTTCATATGGTCGTAAGATTGTCTCTATACAATCTGATTTAGGGGGAGAGTATAAACGGTTGCACCGTACTTTTGTCTCTTTGGGTATCAATCATAGGCAATCTTGTGCCTATACTCATGAGCAGAATGGTAGAGTTGAGCGTCGGCATCGTCACGTTGTGGAAACGGGTTTGGCTCTCTTGGCTCAGGCTTCGGTTCCACAGCGATATTGGGATTATGCCTTTGAGACTGCGGTCTATCTCATCAATAAAATGCCTACTCGAGTTCTAGACAATGTCAGTCCTCATTATCGTTTGCATCTTTCTAATCCTTCTTATTCCTTCTTGCGTGTGTTTGGCTGTCTCTGTTATCCTCTGTTGCAGCCGTACAATCGTAACAAGTTGCAGTATCGGTCATCCCCGTGTGCGTTTCTTGGTTATCCGTCTTCGTTTCGTGGCTATCGTTGTTTAGATCCTGCTACTAACAAGGTATTCATTTGTCGTCATGTACGATTTGATGAGACCGTATATCCGTTTGCTTCTTCTATGCCTTCTCAGGTCTCTAGCTCTCGCCCGGTTGAGCCGTGGGGTGTTGGTGCCGTTCGGGTTGGTGTTGGCTCCGATGTTTGTCCCACTGGACCTGATCCTCATCCGGAGTTGGACGCGGATTCCGGGGCTGCCGCAGCTGGTTCAGATTCTCGCACCGTGACTGCTACGGCTCCGGAAGGGGCGGTCTCGGGTGCTCCTACTGCGCCCAAACGAGGCCGCCGTACGGCGAAGCCTATTCAGCCTCGGTCTCATGTCATGGCAACCCGTTCTCAAGGACCGACGCAGCATGTGGCTCTCATGACTGTTCCTGAACCGACTTGTTATTCTCAGGCAGTTCGGTATCCGGAGTGGCGTGAGGCCATGGATCTTGAGTTTAATGCCTTGCTCCAGAATCACACTTGGCGTCTGGTTAGTCGTACACCTGGCATGAATGTTGTGGGGTGCAAATGGGTGTTCAGAACGAAGCGCAAGGCCGATGGCACGATTGAGCGGCACAAGGCTCGATTGGTCGCAAAGGGTTTCAATCAAGTCGCTGGGCAAGACTTTTTTGAGACTTTCAGTCCTGTTGTCAAACCCACCACCATGCGGCTTCTTCTCTCTTTAGCCGTTTCTCGCGGTTGGGTCATTCGGCAGTTGGATGTTCACAACGCCTTCCTCAATGGTAATCTTGCAGAGATAGTTTACATGAGACAGCCGCCCGGTTATGAAGACCAGTCACGGCCGGATGATGTGTGTTTGTTACAGAGGTCACTCTATGGTCTTAAGCAGGCTCCTCGAGCGTGGTTCAATAGGTTGCATGCTTTCTTGGTGTCGGTTGGTTTTTCACCCTCCAAGACTGATGTTTCTTTATTCATCTATACTCGTGCCTCTATTTGTTTATATTTGCTTGTTTATGTTGATGATATCCTTGTTATGGGGTCTGATGCTTCGTGTGTTACTCGGCTTCTTACTGACTTAGCCTCGGAGTTTAAGATTCGTGACATGGGTGCTCCGTCTTTTTTTCTTGGCATTGAGACGGTCTCCAAGGATGGTGGTTTGTTTCTTTCTCAGCAGCGATACATGCGAGATATTTTGAGCCATGCAGGTATGGTGGACTGTAAACCGTTGGCTACTCCGGTTCCTGTGTCCCGACCTTCTTCTGATTCTGTGGTTCCCTATGCGGATCCCACGCAGTATCGCAGTCTTGCTGGGGCTCTACAGTATCTTACTGTTACTCGTCCGGATCTCTCTTTTGCCGTGAATCGGGTCTGTCAGCATATGCACTCTCCAACCACTGAGCATTGGGCTATGCTCAAGCGTGTTCTGCGATATGTAAAAGGAACTCTGCACTTTGGTCTTTTTATTCGTCCTTCCTCCTCTGTTGCGGTTCATGCCTTTTCGGATTCGGACTGGGCTGGTGATCCAGCTGACAGGAAGTCTACTAGTGGTTTTGCGGTTTTTCTTGGTGGCAATCTGATTTCCTGGTCTTGTCGGAAGCAACGCACGGTTGCTCGTTCGTCTACAGAGGCTGAATACAAGGCTCTGGCTGATGTGTCTGCGGAGGTCACCTGGTTGGTTTCTCTGTTGCACGAGCTTGGAGTGTCATTGGCTGCTCCTCCCACTCTCTGGTGTGATAATTTGGGTGCGACTTATCTCTGTTCCAACCCGGTGTTCCATGCTCGTACGAAGCATGTGGAAATTGATTACCACTTTGTTCGTGACAAAGTGGCGAAGAAGGAGTTGCAGGTTAGCTTCATTTCCACAAAGGATCAGCTCGCTGATGTGTTCACTAAAGCTCTCCCTGGTCCGCGTTTCTCTACTCTATGTGGCAAGCTCAATGTTGTTGCTAGTCCACCTTGTGCTTGAGGGGGAGTATTAGGACTCTATCATCATTAGTATTCGTTACCTATTATTATTAGTAATTAGTATTCGTTACCTATTATTATTAGTATTCGTCTTGTAATAGGTTTACTATTCACTACTATATATACTCCTGTACAGACTCATTATTATTCGTTCAGATATATCGTATCCTCATCTAAATGACCATTTTAGATTTTTTAAATTGGGATGCACTTATGATGTAGAACATCCTCATTTGTTGAGATTTTTGTGAATTTTAAGTTGTCAAGTAGGAGAGAGGAGAGAGGAAATATGAGAAAAAGAAAAGGAAAAAAAAACAGTATGACAATTAAAAAAATTAAAAAATAAAATAAAAGGATGTTTAACGTGCCCAGCCTGGTGCGTGGTGTGCACACACCTAGTTTGGCGCTTCTGGTGCACCTTATGCGTAACAGGAGACCGTCTTTTTTTTTTTTTTTTTTTGGTGAGACCTACTGAATTAGACAAAAATTAATGTTTTCGACAAGAACAAAAATTAATCTCTCTCATCCACATGTGCATTCCACTTGTTATACGTGGTATTTCTTGTGTACGTGGCAGAGGCCCACGTCATTACGTAATCGTAACTCTGCCAGGTCATGGAGTCATGGTGTGAGTGCGAGGAAGATCTAATCCCTACGTTAACAAACCCGATTGCCAAATTCTTCTCCCTTCAAGATTTTTGGTTTACAAAAAAGAATCCAAGTTTGTGTGAATTCCGGGTTAACCCCTACGATTCTCTCTTCCTCCACGTCTCCCAATCAACCAGACTCCCCGGCTCCGGCGTTTTCTCGCCGTCCGGCTGATACTTTCTTCGTGGAATATGACCGGGAGTCCTAAAACCCGACCCATATTGTTCTACTCCTTCTGTTGCATGCGAAATTTCAGTTCATAGTGGTTCGGGTCCATTTCTTTGATTACTTTCTGTAATTGTTGTGTATACATGTAAAAAGCGTTAGTTGTAAATCATCCTGTGAGGAATTAGGGTTTTTATTTGGATTGGGGGAGTTATGTATATAGAGGAAGTAAAGGCAGTAACGATTGAGGAGGAGAAGGAGGAAGAGGAGAGAGTGTCTTCTGGTAATGCGGAAACCTTGAGCAGTGACACGAGGGGCACTCTGGTGGTGGATGTGAGGAAGGTGGTGGTAGGCGTCGGAGCTCGAGCGCTGTTTTATCCGACTTTGCTGTATAACGTCGTTAGGAATCGGATTCAGACGGAGTTCCGGTGGTGGGACTGGATTGATGAGGTATATTTGCTTTGCAATTTAACTATGGATTATATTAAATTATAAACTATGGATTAGATTAAATTATTGCCTTCTCTTTGTCCTATTACTCATGAATTGGTCACAAACAATTTTGAATGTTTTTTTTTTTTTTTTTTTTTTTTTTTTTTTTTGTATACATATTTGAAATTTAATTAGATTTTGGTGATGATAAATAAAGATTTTGATGTTTGTTGTTCAAGATTGTTCACCAAGAAATGCATTATGCATAGAGTAAATTCAAGAAATTCAAGAATTTTGAGTGTATAACACAGTATACTATTCTATTCTTAGTTCTATACAAATTCAAGAAATTCAATGTAGAATTGTGTGCATTTATTTTTCCAAATTTTAGAGCCAATAGATTGGAGATTAAAAGTTAAAGTTAGTTGTGATACACAGAGAACTCTATTGTGTTGACTGAACAATTTTTGCTTTTAGTTTGTATTGCTAGGTGCTGTCCCTTTTCCATCTGATGTGAAACAGCTAAAAAGACTTGGTGTTTGTGGTGTTGTAACCCTGAATGAGTCATATGAGACACTAGTTCCACCTTCACTATATCAGGCAAGTACTCTGATATTTGTAACTATTTTTTTTTTTTTTTTTTCAAATTATTTGTGTCATTCAAGATTATACCATGAATTTTGGTTATTTAAGATTTTTCGTTCTCAGGTAGTTTTCACCTATATCTGTACATATTTATGTGAAGTTGCTATCTGTATATTGTAGGCTCAAGGTATTCATAATCTGGTTCTTCCAACTAGAGATTATATGTTTGCACCTTCACTGAATGACATATTCCAAGCTGTAGAATTTATCCATGGTAAACTTTTAGATGCATTTGATTCCTCCCGTTCCCTTGTTATTCACAGAGAGATATAAAATTTACTAGATGGAGGAAATTTAATTATATTTTGTTCGTCTCTCAAGAGAATGCATCAAATGGACGAAGGACATATGTGCACTGTAAGGCTGGCAGAGGACGTAGTACAACGATTGTCTTATGCTATTTGGTGAGATGAACTTTAAAATGCTTTGAATGAATGATTGGAAAATCATTTGCATTATTTTCTCAAAGTTTCCTTGTACTATAGGTTAGATACAAGCAGATGACACCAAATGATGCATATGAGCATGTGAAAGCAATACGGCCAAGAGTGTTGTTAGCCTCATCCCAGTGGAAGGTGAGCCTTTGCTTCCTTGCTCTCTTTTACTTGTAGTTTTATTTTTTATATTGATGGATGCGTTTTACCTTATTAATAAATTTATATGGGCTATGGAGATGCATAAACTTTTGTCCATTTTCTGATGGCATTGTTGTGTTATTAGCATATCAGGATGTGACCCCTTCTGCAAATTGTCTTTTTGTTTTCCAAAAAAAAAAAACGAAAATCTCAAAAACTTATAGGCCCTGTTTGGTAAAATAGTTAGCTTATCAGCCAATTTTGGCTTATTTGACCACTATTAGCTGTTTGACTGAGTTAAAAAATCAATATAAGTGTTTGGTTAATTAGCTTTTTGTAACTCCAAAATCCTAAAATTCAAAAAGCTACTCAAAGCAATTTTTTCAATTAGCTTTTTGAGAAAAGAAATTATACCAAACAGTTATCAACTAACAACTAATTTACCAAACACTTTTTACAATTAGTGAGCTAATGTTATCAACTAATTATACCCTCTAACCCAAACAGCTAATAGCCATAGAATTTTCTTCCCTCAATTTGACCTCCACACTGTTGAAATATATTTCTTTTAAGGTTTTGATTCTTAAGGAAAATATTACTTATTATGCACAGTTCCCTAATATCTATGTTTTATTTGAAAAAAGAAATATCAATATGAATATGATCAAATTTATCCAGATAACAGTACCCATGATGCATCTATCTCAAAATTATGTTCTTTAAGTTTCTGTACAATGACTCTTTTTGGACATTATTTATACAGGCTGTCCAGGAATTCTACACTCATCTGATGAAGACGGGTATCACATACCCATTGACCTTTCCCATCTCCAGGAGCCCCGGGCTCATAGCCGCAAGAAACCTTTTGGCCTTTGACGATAGCTCCACTTTAATAATAACTGAAGCAGATCTAGATGGATATGATCCAAGCAACCTTGAGCCCGGGGCAGCAAGAAATGAGAGACGGTCTGATTTTGGTTTGATTTGGCGGGTTCGAGTTGCTGGTGTAGCAGCATTGTCAAGAGTTTCTTGTCTTTGGCTTAATTGCCAGCCTCCATCAAAGAGATCAATTGTACAGTTAGCGCAGGCGGATACGGTAGATATACATGATACTCACAAGCCTTGAGGATTATCTGTATGTATAATGATTTCATAGCGCATTTAAGAGATGCAAATCTTGCCCAGTGGGAAGACTCTGTAAATATGCGTCACTTTCTTCCCATTTTTACCTCTCCTGAATTGCAATACATTGAAGCTTGGAATGCATATACGGATATACCAAGTTCCGCTGTGTATAGCTCTTTCGTCACCCAAACATCTTCCCTTTCTAAAGCTAGGTTTAGAAATGTATATGGTACCATGTCATTCATTAGTGGGTTTATTTTTAGATTATTAAAATTAAGTATTATTATCTGTTAATTAAAATTTTAATATTAAATATCCATGACCATGGATGAAATTAAAAAAAAAATGTTGCTCTTACTCTCAACTTTTATTTTCTCACACAAAATTTTGATGTTTTCATTGAAATTTGCAGGAGTAAAAATAGGAATACATATAATAAAACTCTTGTAATAATAACAGTCTTTGACCACTACATTCAAGTTGCTTGGTCATCAAAGCATTCACTGTTGGAAGCTTAACGGTAAAGATTAAAAAAAAACATATCGCTTTACTGCTTTAGAGATAACTTAGAGGCAAAGCGCAAAACATAGACATACATAAGACACAAATTGAGTTTACATTATAGGTACAATTTGCACACCAAAAGTACAAATTTCTCGCAAGTTTGGTTCACGAAATATGTTTTTTTTTTTTTTTTTTTTTTTTTTTTTTTGGAGAATGAACTTCTTGGAATAACTAAGGGTGTGTTTGGTTGGTGGGTTTTGCACATAGGAATGAGTATGAAAGTGATTGTTGTTGTTTGGTTGATAGGTTTTTAGAACACTACGTGTTTCAAATACCCCATCAATTGAAAAATTCATACCCAAATAAAATAAGGTTTCATTCCCTTATTCATTCTCAAGCACTACTATTAGTAACCATTCCCATTCCACCCTACTACCAAACATGTTAAATACTTTCACCAAAACTCATTACCATTACCAAGTATTTGATACCCATTCCGATTCCGACTCCTATGTGTGAACCAAACACACCCTAAGTTATTCCCCTTGCAAGGAGTATCCATATTGATGGGGTGGACACTAAACAATCCTCTCCCTCTTTTGCAGTCTGGTTCCACGGTTTCTACTGTGGACTGCCAGAGCCATATTGACCTGCTTCTATATGGTGCACTCTTGAGTGATCTGTAGTATACTTAATATTGCACCGGGTTTATTGAACTCACCTTTTTTTTTTTTTTTCTTTTTTCATGGTGCGCCACAATTTACTCATAAGTACACCACAGAGCACACATAAATGCACCACACATCAATACTTAAGTGCATTACCAAAATATATATTGTGTACAAAATATAAAAAAGACGTATGTTATTCTTCTTTTGTATATTATTAGATGATCTCAAAAAATATTTTGTTACTTATATGAATATTTTATTTGATAACAAATTCTAAATTATTATTATTATTATTATTATTATTATTATTTTTAATTTTATGTAATCCCCCTAGGGTTAACATATTATCTATCTAATCTTTAAATCAACCAAACACTATATAATACCATTTCTATAATTCATGTGTTATTCATTGCGTAGCATATATTTCAATTCATTTCTTATGAAATAACATTACTATTTTTTTAAAATTCATTTCGTGAACCAAACATGCATGCTGCGCTATATAAAAGAATCTACTTTAAATTTGTGGGTTATTCTTAAACTGCAAGCCAAACATAACATCTAATGAAAAGAGCACACTTGAGATAGCACTTTTTATTTTTTGGTTCCAAAAATACTGCTACATAGTACATATACATCCAAACAAGTTTTATTCTATTATATTTTTATATACATTCAATTCTCTAATTAGGATTAGTTGAACAGTTGAAAAGAAAAAACAAAATGAACCGTTTATCACCAATATCAATCCACCATATAGAGAGAGTGTTAGAAATGAAATGATTTTTTAGTAAAGCCTAGTATAAAACTTTTGTTATACTGTTATGCAGCTAAACATAACGATACGGAGCGTGCATTACATCAAGGAAAATGAAAACTCCCATTTGATTGTTAATGACTCCGATCCCAAAAGATATTTATTAGGTTAACCCACGGAATTTTGGAGAAGTGTAAAAGGCAAAAAGGAGCTGTAAAAATTAATTGCCTAGCTTGGACGGATGACCTGTTTGGTAAAATGTCTGTTAGCTTAGCTGATTGTGTTAATTAGAGTATATAAATAGTTGATAATATTGACTGATTGTAGAAAAGTGTTTGGTAAATTAGCCGTTAGCTGATAACTGTTGGATATAATTTCTTTTCTCAAAAAGCTAATTGAAAAAGTAGCTTGGAGTAGCTTTTTGAATTTTAGCCTTTTGGAGTTGCATAAACCTAAATAACTAAACATTTATATTGATATTTTAACTAAATCAAACAATTAATATGGTCAAATAAGCCAAAATTGGCCTATAGGCCAATTTTTTACCAAACAGCCAAATTGGCCTATATTATTGTTGGTGCAGCCGGTCTTCTGAAAATCTAGAAAGCGGCCAAGCCAACTAGCTAATATGGAAGAAGTCGATTGGGAGGATTTTGAAGGAACACACAATGGGAACCATTCGGTTATGCATCCCAAGTCGTGTATCACTTATTCACTTTATGACTTTGACAACTATAAAATAAATTTTTGGGATAAATTGGAAGGTTAGTTAATGAGAAAATCTCTGACAAACTGTATCTAAAGCAATGTATTGGGGGGGGGGGGGGGGGGGGGGGGGGTTGTTTGCATGGAATTTGTTAGTTTTTTTTTTTTTTCCCCTTTTCAAAACTACACCAAGATTCTCACTATTGAAGATGCCCTTAGGACATTGACTTTCCCATTTTCTCTCCAAATTATGGGTCCAACTCCGCCATATCACCTTATAATTTTCACTCCTATTTTTTTCTCCCATCCTTCTCGCATTTTCTCTTGTAAGCCCTACTCATTCTAACTTCTACATATCATCTACTATTTTATTCACTTTTATATAATTAATAATTTCAACTTTATAATTTTAATTTCAACTTAAAATAAAAATAAAAATAAATAATAAAATAAAAATTTCGGAATGAGATTTTAAATACTATATATACCAACCATTAGTAAATTTTAAAAATTTAAAAATAAATTTTAATATAAAAATTTAAATAATAAAATAACCATTATTTAAAAAAAAAAAAACTAAAGAAATCAAGCCGTTGGCTCAACGGCCTGATTAAGGTTTAAAAACAATATATTATATATATATTTTGTTATATAGCAGATGGTGGGGGTGTGTTTGTGCCTTTGTGGCGCATGAGTGACACACGCCATGCATCTGGGTAGAGTTTCTTCTGAGAGATAGTTCATTATATTCTGGAGAAACTTCTCCCCTCCCCTCCCTTCCCCTCCAACAATAATTTTCTCCTGTTTTTTTTTTTTTTTTTTTTTCCTCTTTTTCTCTTTGGTTGAAGATGCCTTTATAAGTTTTTTAGATATAATTATTGTTAAAGCATATATATCATTAATTAGTTCCAAGTAGTGTTTATAATGTAGTTCACCTTGCAAGGTGCATCTGATCTTAATGTATGTTCATTTTTAGTGTGTTATAGGTCGTTCATTTTTAGTTTATTATAAATTCATTTTTAGTATATTATAAGTTCATTTTTAGTGTAATGTAGGTTCAATTTTAATATATGGTAGGTTCATTATTATTTTTTATATGGTAGATTAATTCTTGAATTAATTTCATTTTTGGTCCCACGACTTTTGAGTTCTTATCACTTTTGGTGCACAACTTTAAATTTTTTTAATTTTGGTGCCTAACTTTGTTATTTTTATCAGTTTTGGTCCTTCCAGCCAAATTGACGGTAAAATATTTTCGAATTTTATATTTTAGGGGCAAAATCGTCATTCCATGGAAAGATCTTCAATATTTAAACAAAAGAAAAAATCATATTAAGAGGAAAAGAAGAGTTTGCCAATGGTCGAAATTATAAATCTCATAGATCTGTCTGGTTTCTGCCCGTCTTCACCATTATTCTCATCGATCAAACACCTATAGATATGATTTTACAGTGATTTTGTTTAGATATTGAAGATGTTTCCTTGGGATGACATTTTTACCCCTAAAAATATAAAATCCAGCAACATTTCGCTGTCAATTTAACCAAAAGGACCAAAACTGATAAAAATAACAAAGTTAGGCACCAAAATTAAAAAAATTTAAAGTTGTGCACCAAAAGTGATAGAACATCAAAAGTCGTGGGACCAAAAGTGAAATTAATTCATTAATTCTTTGTGTATTACATGCTTATTTTTAGTATATTACGGAGTATGTATTTATTTTTAGTATACAATATGTTCATTTTTGTGTGTATGTATTATATGTTTATTTTTAGTAGGTTCATTATGTTTATTTTTAGTATATTATAGATTCATTTTTAGTACACAATACATTTTTTTTTTTGTATTATATGTTTATTTTTAGTAGGTTCATTATATTTTTATATAAATTTATTTTAATATATTACTAGTCAAAATGGACATATTGTATACTAAAAATGACTTACAATTATGTTTGAAAAGGAGCGGAGAAGGACCGTCCTTGCCCCAGAACCCCCCGTTTTCAGGTGAAGATGGAGAATTACTTTTCAATCCTCCAATCCTTGTCCTTGTGAAGATTTTTCGAGGATAGGGATTTCCTACTCCAATATTTTAGTACAATAAAAAAAGGGGGGGACGGGGGTCGGCCAAATGGGAGGGGTCAGCTAACACGCTGACGCTCCCCGGCCTCCCTTCGCCACTACATTCCGATCTATGTCATCTTTCTCGGGTTGGTTGAGGGTTTCATTGATGATGCAATTGTGATCCATGTCACTAATTATGATTAGTTAAAAAAGTTTTTTTTTTTTAATAAAGATAAAATAAAATGGACTGTCTATCATCAATATGAATCCGCCATATAGAGAGTATTAGAAGTGAAGTAAAATTTATAGTGACATCTGGTATAATTTTATTTTATTTTTAAATTTAGGGGATCCAAAATTTGCTAGACTAATCCTAAGTCCATAGGACCCCACCCCTAAAGCCACTGCGAAAGTAAATTGCGAGTCACCCAATTAGCCTATCGGTCAGATCCTAGTTTTTAAGTACACACAAGGAATTCAA